ATATATATATATATATATATATATATATATATATATATATATATATATGTGTGTATATATAGTATATATTCAGAGAAGCATACACTAAAATTGAGAAATGAGTGAAACAAAAAATTGTGCTGTGGTCTCTTGATTCTTTCCAGAGCTGTTTATATACCGATAAACTAAACCATCATGATCACCCCCACATGACGTGAATGACACTGACTATCTTGCTAGAAACAGAGCATGTCAAAGTCTGGAGTAAAGACCAGAGTGACGTTGGTAAGAGCCAGATTGTTATGGCCAGATGAGTGGATCAGTGCATCTCTGAACGGCAAGTCCTGTGGGAAGCTCATGATCAGCTGTGGTGAGTACCTACCGAGAGGGGTCTGAGGAGGAGGCAGCAGGACAGGGTGTAGGCCAGCCTAGACTCCTCAAGGCTGGTCGTGAGTGAAGGCTGTTCCATCTGTGGCACAGATGGTAGCTAATATATCCCAGACCATCACACTCACTGTTTTTTATGAGATAGTCAATTTTATTCACTTCACGTGGGTGTGATCATAATCCTTAACGTAGGTTTCAGTGTGCATCTTGATTTCCGAGGAAACAATGCTGTTTTTATATAGTAACAGCCTGTTACATTTATTTGTACTCATAGGATTGACAATGGAGCAAGAAGGGCCACTGACAGGAGAGATATCACAAAAAGTATTATTTCCAGCAACTTCAGAAACTTCACACGCAACCACTAGTTGCTTGAGTGACAGGGTCGCCAGTGATTGTGCGTTGCCATGGTAACCAGTACACATGCTGGGGGTATTGTCTAGCAACAGCAGAAGTAACATTTACAGTGTAGCCATGGTCACCAGTGATGGTTAACGATGGATGTAAGTGTTCCTTCTCCATCCCCCCATATCGCCATGTTGTCTGTCCCCCGTGTCCTCATCCCCCTCACAGTGAGGGGTCCACTGGGACTGGGGAAAGCGATGTGAGTGGTGACCGTGTGTGTCCGTGTCCTGGCTGTGATCCATCTTCTGAGATGCGGCTCTGTGAGCCCCGTGTGGCTCATCGCCACGGTGACGATAGTGATGGTGGTAATGGCTGCGCCCCCAGTGTAACGGTGTACCATGATGCAGCTGGCTCTCCTCTTCCTCTTCCCCTTCCTCCCCCCGTTGCTGGTTTTCCTGGTGGGGGGGCTCCCTGCCTTCATTCCCATCCTGAGGATTCTGCTTCTTGCTGAGCAGGATGTGCTGCCTGGGGTGTTCTGGTTGTGTGTGAGCGGGGCGGTGTTGGGTACGTTGAATCCTCCTGACCTCGGGCCGGAGCAGGCGCTTTTCTTCCTCCTCCTGCTCCTCCCCCAGATCCTCCCCTTCCTCTCCATCATCCTCCTGTTCCTCCTGGGCTTCTTGGTGGTGGGACACTGTAGTTTTCTCATACTTCTGGTCATTCACACACACAATGCAAAAGGTTAGCTGGCTGTACGCACACAGCGCTACCTAGCTAATTAGAAATACTCTGATGGTGTATCTACTGGAATCTCTGAGATACAATTATGCAAAAAACATTCTAATTTAACATAATTCAAAACAGAAGGCAATGAAAATATACACTAAAATGTTATAACAATTTCCCTAGTTTAAAATCCATATAGTTGCAATAATTAAGTTTACTTATAGGGGTTATCATTATTCTGACTGTGGCCTCTTTTGCAGGTTCTATTCTGAATGTGGAATGTTTATTTGAAGTTCCAGTATAATGTGAAAAGTCTCCAGTTGTCATGTGACTTGAGATTTTTCAGGCAAGAACACTCTGAAAAAGCCTGAAAAAGGACACCAAATTTGTTATGTCTATTCTGTTGTGTTCTCTTAAAACTTTATTCACGCACACACCCACTACTCCACACATAAATCCGTGCCAGTCCAATTTTTAGATGCTGCAGTACCAATAATAACCACCTGAGGAAGTATTTTGGTATCTATGAATGGGAGAATGGGATGAATGATTGATCTTGCACTCACCAGCGGCATCACTATCAACCAATGGCATTTCTCTTCTTGTTACTATTCCTGATGGGGGGAAGGATGAAGGGAGGCACAAAATGAATGAATGGGAGATGACAGAAGCACAGCCAGCAGCCCAGACAGCACCTTCCGGTTCACTGGCACACGGACTGGACTCGGGGATTTGTGGCATGTGGATGGTGAAGGATCTGGACTTCGCGTCCGACAGGAATGCAACAATTAACTGCCACGTCTGGCATAAAGAGCCCCCAGAAGCAGGTGCCTAATTAGTGAATAAATTATACTGCAGGAATGTGATTGTTCCTCAGATTCCTTTGATATTTGAATGTTTTTAATGGAGTTTAAAATATTTTAAGATATTCAGAAGACAAGGATAGAGGGAGAAATGTTAGTAAGTCTGTAATATATTTCAGTCTTTTCTGAGGGAAAAAATGTAGACTTCAACAAATAAAAAATAAATAGCAAAACCGAAAGGGATGGAAAGCAGATGACTTAGTACAGATGGATGGCACTAATTTAGTAGCTAAAGAAAATATTCATGAAAACAAATGAAACTTCAAAACGGTGTTGTAGGCCATAAAAGAATCTTTTTTGCAGAAGTTCTGAGGTAAACAAGACGACAAGTCCTCCTTCCTAATTCTCGCTCTCCTGTAAGGGGTTTCTGTGAAAAGTTACCAAACCTTAGGAGCTACTTCTGCATTCTTCAGTATAAAAGGCAGTCACTCATAAAATGACAAACTGCAACTTCCTTGAATTTCTTGAGCAATGACTAGACAGGAATTCACATTTGGCTTCTAAAGCAACCATCACATAATCAAGTGCAAAACTAAATCACATGCAAAACACACCGGCACACATGCTAATCACATGGTAATGCTAAACACACCAGTGCACTGTCCTTTAACTCGATTATGTTGAAACCTTGTGACCATGGAACTTGGATAGATAAGTATGTGTTGTCATCCATCTGTATATTACAATAAATTTTAAAAATAATGTCAGAAAATTATTTTCATTATTTTAAATGTTGCAAATGTGCAAATCCACTATAAGGAGCATACAATCCAAACCAAAGATCTCAGTAAAATGCAATGAAGTCGCCACATCCTTCACCAACATCTTGTCACCTCTCTCCAAACAAGCCCATCCAAGCCTTTAACTAGCTGGGTACCTGCAACTCCAAAGAGCCCCCAGCTGTGGGGATGGTTGGCAGGGTCGCTGCGGCCAGCCTTGCCAGAAGGTTGTTGGATTCCTGCTCATAGGGTGGGTGTGTGGCCTTCCAGTACTCCTCCAAGTATTCTGCTATGTGATCACACGCCTCATCTAACTGGTTCTCGTCCAGGATAACGTCAAACATTTCCTGGTGACCGAACAATGACACTCTTAGTGCTTTAAATTTCAAAAATAGATCGCTGACACCCTTCTAAGAAATACTCAATATCCTTCACGGAGTGACACCATTACCCGCAGCATTTATTTTAAGTAACACATATCGTACTTGCAGTACTTGACAGCACTCACCGGGGGGCACTGCAGTAGCTTATCAGTGGCCACCATCTGCATATTCATGTGCTTCGCCTCTACCTTCCCTCTGGACTTTATGAGTTTTTGTAAAACCTTCAGACGTAGAGGAAGAGTCAAGAGTCAGGACGAAATGCTATATTGCATCACTGATTTCATTAGATTTGGCAATATTCTCAGTTCTGATTAATGTCCAGTGAAATGCCAGTCAACAGCAGCTATAACCCTAAATCTGTAGCCTCTTCCAGTGTGTTATTGCGTTACGGAATTTTCACAATTTACGACGATCCTGGAAATTTTCACCTTGGGAGACTGGACCTTGATGTAGACCAGAATGGGTGCCAGGGAGCTCCTTGCTAACTGGTTTGGGTGATTGATAGTGTCAGCATCCAGAATCACCAGTTGCAGGCACCGGGCCAGCTCAAATATCCGCTCAATCTCACTCTGGACCTCGGCTGTGCAGAGAGAGAACATTACGAAACGATAACGCAATGTAACAATGCTTGAAGCTAAGAGAAATGTGCATAGTTAAACTATAACAGCACATTGCAAGGTTAACAACACACTCTAACCTGCTCCCTTACCAATAAACCTGTTTGTTAAACTAAATAATAATAATAAAATGTACGAAGACGGCCTTTCTGTCCTGTCTCCTGTCCTCTCCCACTTGTGAGGACCCTGCCTGGTAGGAGGCCTATAGCTACCCAGAGGCCCTCACCCAAGTTGGATCGCTCGACCATTCCCTGTTTGCTGGTGCTGTTTAGAATGGACGGTTTTGCCAGGGAGATGTCTGCTGTGACCCTGGTGATGGAGATCCTGAAAAATCAGAGGAGCAGAGGGAGAGGGACATGACTAATATAGGGGAGCTGGGAAGGTTCCGGATGCACATTGGCTACGTCAAACTACCGCATGTACCAACCACCAATAATGAACTCACAATTAGGTATCTAACAATACCAGCTGCAAATACACACAGTTTGTAGGCTATATCGCCCCCTGTGGAGCTTTCTGCAAATGCAGGTGAGCAAAGTGCATCTCTGAGCATTTAAGCTTTTGCTCACTTAGAGTATCAGTGGACTATTGTTCTATACCCACCCTTCTGTACCAGCCTGCTCCCAACATCTATCTTCTTTGACCACAATTTCACAATTTTCAAACTACGATTTGCCAAGGAAGTGAGACTCACTTTCCCTCGAACCTTTGCTTTAAGAAGTCAAACAGGGCTTTCTGCATCATGTCTGTGACCTGAAATACAAAAGACGTATGAAGCAGTGCAGGGGAAGGAAAATAGGATCAGTCGGGTTGTTGCAGTGTCCTGTTTGTGTCAGCAGCGGGCGATGGCTCTTACCTCGTAGCCTTTCAGAGACGGGCCCACCAGCACCAGGGGTCGCATCGAGGGCACGACGTCGTAAGTTGCCATATTCTCACTCTGTAAGGGGGGGGCAGAGGTTAGCACATTAAGACCATGTCCATCCATCCATGTTTTGAAACTGCTTGTCCTATTTAGGGTCGTGGGAAGACCAAATCCTCAAAGCAAAAAAAATGAGTGCTAAATCAGGGTTAGACCAAATTGGCCATTAAGGGAGCTTATTAAGGTTTTCCAGGAGCCATGGAGACCAATGACGATCTCCCATAATGCACTAAAGCAGTCATTTAGCCAATCACCAGTAGCCAATCACCTTTTATAAAAATTCACACCAATCAAAAATTGCTTTATCAGACTGCTGCCCCCACCACCTGACACCGGATAAGGGGTGGATAATGGATCGAGGGATGGACACCAATCAAAAATTGATTAGTTCTAAAAACAGATTTCCCACATCTTTTGGTTGTTTGGTGTATAATAACATAATATGTATCCAATATGCCTATAAAATAAGCATAATTCCCATCCACCCCACTAAAATTCTATATTTATTTAGGGTCTCGTAGGTAGGCTGGCCTCATAAACATCTTTTGGGTTGTGAAAACAAAAAACAAACAGTTTGCCAGAAAAAAGTCCAGATTGCATAACTGTTATGAGTAAACAAACTCAAACAACCAGCCAGTCAAAACCAAGCCCTAGTGACAAAAGCAAAACAATTATATGACACACATTTATTTCTAATGATATAACATATAATAATACATTTATTAGTAATGATATAACATATAATAGCAACACAAAACAAAGGAGGGGAAATACAAGCCCAAATGAAATCACTCCCAGATTCGAGGGCCGCTTTGTCTTACCTTCTTCTGTTTTGCCACTTTTGGGGACGGGGGTGGGGGGGTGGAGGTTGAACAGAAAGAGAGAGAGGCATTGATTAGAGAGAAGCATATAAACACTGATTGGACACAAAATGGGAACTGGCCATTTCCAGGATCAGAAGGACAGCCGGAGCCAATGTCAAACTTCAAGCTGGATTCAGACAGGCATAGGTCTCCACCAGGGGGCAGCAGCAACAACCGTGCTGGTTTACAGGTCCGGGAGGAGCTCAGTGTGTGTGTGTGTGTGTGTGTGTGTGTGTTATGTTTATATTACATTGTGGGGACCAAATGGCCCCCACAATGTGATAAAAACATGTTATTTTGATGATGATGGGACCATTTTTCACTCATATGAGACAGAGAAAATCACCAATTGTGTTATGTAAAGTAAATTAGCAAAAACAATCATAATACATATTCTTATTACAAATAACACAAATGTATTATGAAAGTACTTAATGATACTCCAGAAGTTCATATTGTGCCTAAGTAGAGAATTATAGCAGATTAACGAATATGAACGAACAGAGCAGAAGAAACCAGCATCAAACACAGGAATTTCCTGTTAGCAAACATTCATAAATTTACCAGAATAATATTCTGATGCGGATGGAAATGGTAGAATTCTGATACTGCAACTATGAAAAATATCTCAAAGTGATAAGAAACAGGGACAGAGTGCAAGCTGACACCAGGTTTAATTAGGCCAGTGGATGCAGTGGTTGAAGGATTATCATGACCAGGGGCACCGCCAGGGGGGGAAAGGTTAGAACGATTCTAGGGGCCCAGCACTGACATGGGGCCCTGTTAGGGGCTTTACCTTTTCGCAAAAAGGGGGGGGGGGGGGTCGAAAAAGACGAGGACAGTGGAAAAGATCAAACTACTGAACTACTGCTCACGAACTTGGGTTGGGTAGCCAAATAATTGTGAGAGGCAGAGAGATGATTTTCTGAATATTCTAAAAAAGCTTGTAGTGTTTTATCATTGACACTGTATTCGATAAATCTTTTCGCCAGCCTGTAGCATTTGCCAATCACTGAGGACTGCCTCTCCGGCAAATCTTATTATACTGAATGGGGATGCGAGACTTGACCAATATTTTTTGCAGGGTCTCCAGACAAATAGTTTGAGGACCACTGGAACTGGTGATCTGAGGGGCGCTAAAGCAGTGAGATACAGGAGGTCTTGCCGTACCTGACGCGGCGCGAGCGGCATTTGCCAGGGGGTTGGTTCCTCCCGATTTGCTGGGATAGACAGAGAGCAGACTCTGTTTATACCTCTCCACACCTCCCAGAGTCCAGCAGCACACCAGCTTAAATATACACATTAATTAGCCAAAAACCTTCCCATAAATCAGCTCCAACACTTCCGTATGATCCGAAAAAAGCCCCCATCTTTCACTTCAGGTGCAGATACCGTCCTAAACTACCATACTAACACCAATATACAAAGAATCACTAAGAAGGAATATTTGACAATTAGAAAAAGTTTAGCTAAATGTAGCCATATACCCATGTGTTCATTTCACCTGTGTGTCCACCCACTCATAGGAAACTGCGAGTCATGTGAGTCATACCTGGCCTGCAGCTTGGCTTTCCTAGCTGCCAGTCCGTGCTTCATTTGTAGGATCTCCAGGTTGGTGGGGCTGGGGATGAAGCCCACCTCGGCATCCACCTTAACGTGACGCCCGATCCACCAGTCGTTGTTATACTTCTGTAGGATCAGTGAGGTCCACATGCTCAGAAAAGGCATTAAATCCCTCCTACTCATCATCTTCCTCATCCAAAACAAATTCATATATCTACTTTCACCATAAATTTGATGTACCTCCTACAGACACTCAGTACGAGAAGCATGGATCTCTTGCGCATATCTCTAGTTTCTCTTGCATGCTCTAGTCTCTGACCTCTTTGATATGGAGGAAGTCTTTGGCCTCAAAGGAGATCGCCTTTCCAGGTACAGGAACGCCATCTTCGTCGGCAGCCACGTAGGTGACATTGCTGCGGATGGCAAATGTCACGGGCTTGCGCTGTCCAGGGAAGGGAAGGAGGGGAAGTGACATGGATGCTTCTTGTCTGAATATAATTATCAAAGCTTCCCCCCTCCCTCTCCTACTTCTGATCCTTTGGCATTCATTCCAACATATAAGTTCAATATTAGCGCCCTCAATTCACATAAAACCCAGACTAGCTGTCAGCCTGGACAACACCAAGTGAAGATGAGCTAACATCAATTATTTAGCTCAGTAAACTGATGTTTCATAGGCCTCTTTTATCAGCCTTCAAGAACAAAGGCTTGGCAGATACACCTGGAAGACCAGAGGCCTGTTTAGTGTTGACGCACAGTAACCTAAAACCTGTCAACACAGAAGGTTATTTCGAGTTTCAGTACCTTTACTACACCATTAACAGTGTTGGGCATTTTAGGTCGAGAAGTTACAAATCTAGACCAAGACTTTGTTTCTACCAACCGGGTGAGTACTCTGTGACTGTCACTCTTTATGCAGAGCTGTTGGTAGAAACAAAATCTTGGTCTGGATTTGTAGCTTCTGGATCTGAAATGCCCAACACTGACTATTAACCTCATCTGGTGGGTAGAGGAGAGGAAAATAATGAATTATATATCCTGTGCATAGATATACAAACACCACAGAGGCTATGAGAGGAAGTGCAGGGGTGGGGGGGGGGGAGGGGAGGGGTGCGTGTAGCAGGGTGGGGGTGGGGGGCGGTTACCCTGGCTTTCTCCAGCTGCACCACCGCCTGCTTCTGTGCAGCCTCCTTCTCCGCTTCCTGCAGAGCTTTCTTGTTGGACTCCTCCGAACCCTGCGTAGAAGACCGAAGGTGTGAGCAGATGAGTCTGGGGCTGATCCCACTCCCTGTCCTTTTCTTAGCCAGCCAACGTTTCCATCTCCACTGATAAAGGATACTGAGCCACCCTCTTACATATTGCCATGGGAACGATTTAAGACACAATACAGTAGGCAGGTATCTATGGGAGTACAGAAGTCATACCAGTTACAGTCTTTTTGCTATATGGTCAACTGATGTTACACTGTGTCTTTAATACATTACAATACAATTACAATAGCAGGCTGAGTATGTGCAAGGTGGTCCAAATGTCTATGAAGATGTTTACTAATCCAGGATACTATGCTAATGCGCACTATCACATATTTCTTTAAAAGTACACCATGGGCTGCTCCAGCCATTTCCCAATGAAAGCCAACACAGTGTGCCAGGAACCAACACAGTGTGCCAGGAACCTCTGTTCTCTCTGTAGCACACGTGCTAGCAGACGCACTAGTCTGGACTGGTCATCCTGTCACAAAGGTGTATAATTTAGGATTAAAGAGCCTTTTTATGTGAGCTCCTTTTGGATTATCTTACTGGATTAGAGGAGAACATGGATCACAGAGTTTTCCATTTCTGCTGCCTTCTGGTCACTATGACAAAACCAAATCCTTTCCCAAAAGTACTTCAATCCCAGCCAGTCCAGTCCATCCATCCATCCACCCATGTGTTTATCTTCCTTTTTTCTAGCATCTGGTTAATAAGCAGCTTTGAATATTCATCCATCCATCCATGCATGCACAGAAATTTCTAACAGCACAAATGTGCATAAAATAAGTTTTTTTTTTTTTAAATTAAAAAAAAAAAAAAGTACTGTGGAGGAAGAATGCATCTTGTAAAAATGACCTTGAATTTCAACCTTCATACCACAAATTCATACTTGCGTACCAGTTACGTCAATCCCTGTTTATTACTGTCAGTATTAGTCCAAGCTCTCTTATTTCAGCCCAACACCATGACATCCTTGCAGAAGCCAGTCCCTTTGTCGGTCCATAGCTGCAGTCTCCAGTCCCTTTGTCGGTCCATAGCTGAAGCCTCCAGTCCCTTTGTCGGTCCATAGCTGCAGCCTCCAGTCCCTTTGTCGGTCCATAGCTGCAGCTTCCTCCCACCCTGAGCTGTTGACTCTGGTCACTTATTATTTTCTATTTTCTATTTTTACATAATTCCTCCACCAAGGGCTGCAGACTCAAATCAAAGACGTTTAGATGTAGGTTCTAATCCCAGAACGGCCACCTAATGATACTAGACACAGTGTGCTAAAAGTGTTCCTCTTAACCTCTGGACAAACCTGAGCTTTTCCTGCCAACAGACAGACAAAGATGGGTTTCACGTTCACTGCACACCCAGCGGGATCCAAGTGGCCCGGTGCCTGGCACATTCAGTCCCACCAGATCGGAACCAGGGTGGAGGGCGAGCTCTCCGGTCCACTGTGTGATCATAGCAAACAGCACCTCATTGTTACCTGTGGTGAGGTAGCAGGTTCAGATCCCCTCACAGACCCTGATTGTCCATATGGGTACAAACTACTTAAGAGTGCTGGCGTGCAATTCAAATCAAATCTGCATATGCAGCTTCATCCATCCACTTGCCCTATTCAGGGCTGCAGGGGGTCCAGAGCCCATGAGCACAGAAGAACCCATGATGTTGCACCACAGGGATCGCTTACATACATACACACATATGGGCAATTTGGTAACTGCAATGAACCTCAGCATGTTTTTTGGAATGAGGGGGAAAACCAGAACTTGGAGTAAACCCCACAATGACATGGGGAGAACATACAAACATGGAGCCATGGCAGAGACTCAAACACTGGTCTCAGAGGGGGGAGGTAAATGTGCTGAACACTGCTCCACCGTGCCACCCATACAGAGGGCATCCATTCTTTTGTGATGGTGGGCTCTACATACAGTACTGTTGTTAGCATATGCTTTCAAAGCCAGTATTCCGCCATGTGTTTAACCTCGTTCCCTATTGGTTGCAGGTAAGCACATGGTCAGTCACATGCTCATGCTTAGCAGCAACTCATCACATTGCTGTAGGATTACTGGAAATCCCTCTCTCATCCTGGTCATTTCCAGGGTTTCCAGGGAATCCAATTATGCAAACGAAAATCCTGTAGGATTATGAAACACAGAATGCAAAGTTTGTCAGGAGTAATTCATTATGTGTTGAAATCTCAGTCTTCCATACTTGTTAACCCCTAAATCAGTAACCATCTATTTAAGGACCCCATATAATTTACTGATAAATAGGTTTCTTCAGAAACCAGGAGCTCCAACTTATGTCTCACGATGCGTGAAGCGTTTGATTTGTGATCTCCAGGGAGCTTATGAACATTTTGTACATTTCAGGTTAACAGCCTTGCTGCACAGGTAAGTCTGAGATATGAGACATTATTTTGGCACAGCTGGGGTGGTTTTCCGCTGTAATGCTAAACCATGCGGCAAACGCGAGGCACGTGAGGCACGCAAGGCAAACGTGAGGCATGTGAGGCACGCAAGGCAAACGTGAGACAAACGCGAGGCATGTGAGGCACGCAAGGCAAACGTGAGACAAACGCGAGGCATGTGAGGCACGCAAGGCAAACACGAGGCAAACGCGGGGCATATGAAGCAAATGCGAGGCATGTGAGGCACGCGAGGCACGGTGAGCAGAGCTCTGCCAAGGTCTTGCCTTCCAGCCTTTACTTCTGTGAAATGGTGAGGTCCACTGGTGGATTTAGGTATAGGTCACATGGACAGCTACCCAGGGTGTGATCTTACCCAGACAAAAAAGATTTGATTGTGATATTTGCGCGATTGGTTTTCTATTCCTCATTTGTGCATCACTTGCACGTCATGTCAATGACATCATGTCACTTGTGAGTCATCTAATCTTTTCAGAGAGGGTGTCCTGATTCCAGTTTGTGAGACAGGCAGGCTGCCACTCACAAGTACGAGATGGGGGAGGGGGGGGCTGGGCTGACCCCAGGTCGCCCCGCTGGAAGCCAGAGGAAGGGGGAGCGGGGGAATCTATTGAACAGCACACCTTTAGCTTTGTACAATACTAATGATTTACATGGAAGCCATTTAGCAGTAACGTACAGCATGTTAAACTCAGGTATATATCTAATATCTAAAAAGGTTTTTGTATGTCTTACTGTGAGTGACTATCCAGGATGTGTGTTTGTGTGTGTGTGTCCACAATGTGATAAAATCCTGTTATTCTGACATTGTGGGGACAATTTTTTTCAGTTCCCACAAGGGGATACAATTTCATAAAAGTCTGTAACTGCAATCAAAAAACTAAAAATGTCCAAAGTCTTGTATTTTGTTTGGTTACTTATGGTTAAGGTTAGGGCTGGTTGGGGGTTTGGGGTTGCCATGTTGGGATTAGGGTTTTTCCCATAGAAATGAATGGATGATCCCCACAAAGATATGAATACTAGTATGTGAGTGTGTGACTACATGGCTACCATCCATGCCCCACCACTAATCAGCATGAGTCAGATCAGGATTTGGGAGAAAAAAGACAAACGGCAGGTCCTGTCCTCCAGGCCACCCAGCGTGCCCGTCAGTGCATAAGAGACGGCCCCGGGTTTCCATACGGCTTCCGGGAAGCTTAGTGCGGCTGAAAGGGCTGGCCACTATACTCCTGCATTTCACAGGAAGGATGGCCCAAAAACAGGAAAACAATGGATGCATCCTAAAATTGTTCTGCCTAACATAGGCCCTAAGTTTCACAATACCTTGTTCTACTTATAGCAGTCAAGAAAGAGGATATCCTGAAGCTTGCATCTTCTGCAACGTGAAATGGTTAAATAAAACTTCATCATTCAGTCAAATACACTGGCTTTGCACTGGTCTTACAAAATTGGTGCAAGTTAGCCTGTGTCTGGCTCATCGGCGCCTAGATAAATCCATCACACGCCCGTACACTGTGAGTTTTTGTAATGGTATAGGCTGATACAGCGTACCAGAACCTTTTTTGGGATTGGTGTGTGTGCCCTGTACTGTACAACATCCCACTGGGGTCAAAAAGGCCCAAACCCGTCAAATGAGAAAAGCCCTGTAGCATGTGTGACATCAGACATATGAAGATGGAGAACGGTAGCGAACACTGTACCTTTGCTTTCTTGGACATGATGGCCCATTGATTAGCACAGAAGGTCGCAGTGAATCATGTGAATGTCTCTCTTTCTGGACGAGGAAGGACGTTGGTCTGCACCTAGACTAACACGTCCAGTAGACCACTCTCATTCCACAGCCAACAAAAAGTTTCCCCAACAGGCTCCTGGTCCAGATGATTATCACTTCTCAGGGAGCAATAGCTGAAAACTGGAACAGCTGAAGTTTAGTTAGGATGCTCCAGACTGACGGAAGAGGAGGCTCCTGTGGGAGTCCAGAGCAGGAGCTGTCTTTCTAGAACATTCCATCCAAACAGCATCAGCATTTAGGGCTTACTGGCTGGAGGGCATCTGCTGCGTCTACCCGGACTCAGATGTCATTTCTTAAGTCCAGCTCTTCACATGACTCTTAGATCTTGGTCTAGGAGGAAATTAAACTGGCCAGGTGCAGAAGCTCTGTTTCTACCTCACCTACTGTCTGGGATAAAACTATCCACCAGTGACAGCATCGGGGTGTATTAGTATATTTAAGCCGGCCTTTGTGGGTGGTGCCGGAGGTGGAGGGGTGGGGGGAGGGGTAATTCAGGTTAAGCACCTTGCTGACAGGTTCAGCGCTCCACATGCGAGACAACAGTGTGTTGAGGGCTTCCCATCGCCAGCAAAGCAGATTTCTGGGGAATGTTGCTCTCTCTGTATCCCTCAGGTGAATATCCAGACCTCATTTGGATCTGTGGATCCCTGAAACAGCCTCATCTAAGCTGCCAGTGTGAGAACACTGGGCTGAAGCATGTCAGACTGAGGATTATATTACCCACCTTTTAAAAATTAAAGATGCAACACACTAGAGCCAGACAAAACACTTTTGATACTGTCAGGGGGACAACAGACCTACAAAAAAAAACATTTATAATGACAGTCATGGTCAGAACTCCAGCTAATGGAACAACGTCTCCTAAAGAAAATCGAGGAAAGCCTACAATTTTCACAGAAAATAAAAATGTTTAATTCGTAATTCAAGAATAGAGCAGTTCCCATAAATACAGACCTGCACAGATACACATAGAGGCAAATTGATAAAAGCAGGGGCTTTATGGCCCCAGGGTTGTCTCCTTTCTGTCCATGAACATAATAAACACCAAGAAACTCGATTCCTGTCCTGTTCCACCGGTATGGAGCTCAGAGGTGTCCTGTGTCAGGGAAAATGTGATCTCACTCAAGCCCCGCCCACTCTCTGAGAGAGGACTTTCTGTTGGTCCCCCCTCCCCAACCAGTGGGGTATCACTTTGCTTGCCGATGGCACAGATCCTGCTGGGGACTGAGCACAGAGCTTCTCTCTAATCTCTCCCACACCATCTGCTGCTACGTCTGCAGATCCCAGGCAGAGAGGCCATGTCTGACAGCGGACACACACGCATGCATGCATATGAACACACACATGCACCACACACACACACACACATACGCACACACACACATACTCAAACACACACACACACGCACACATGTAGGGTAAACATATCCTTATGGGGACCACTCATTCATTTCAATGGGAATTAATGCTAACGCTAACTATGACAACCTTAACCCCTACACTTCCCTAACCATAACCATAAGTATCCTAACAAAATACAAGAGTTTTTGCATTTTTAGTTTTTTCATAGCAGTCACCAGGAAACTGGTCCCCATAAGGGGAAATAAACTGATATTTATCACGTTATGGGGACATTATGTCCCCATAAGGATAGGTAAACCCACTCACACACACAAACACACACACACATGTCTTTCTTTCGGAGGGTTTTGCCCTGACTCTCATTATAATTAATGATTTTCAACCCTATAAATAATCATTCAGCAGGATTCATCTATTTTTGACACTCAAAATTTGTCCACATAAAAACATGAAAGCCTGTACTCACACATAAATACTTCCAACTACAGAACGTGGAACAGATCAGTGGAGTTTCTCAGGTAGGTTTGTTTGCAGGTCCAGCTCCACCCCCCTCCCCCCTAGGTCATCCCAGTAGCAGCTGAAGGCTGTGAGGCACCCTAGGCCAGCTTCATAACTGGCGCCCCCCCTGTCCAAGACAAAGTGAAATCTGCTTGCTAAGTCAGAGCCTTGTCACAAGAGGGCACCCTTGGTGACCACCCATGTCGATTAATGGATTGACTGGCACTGCCTGCTCCTGTGAGAACAAACGGCTCACATGAGGCAGAAGTCACAGCACCCTGTGACATCGGGGCCGGGGAGCCACGCAGGGTCACCGTGCTCAGTAACAGGCTGAACCTCATCAGGACCGTGGAGCCACGCGGGGTCACCATGCTCAGTAACAGGCTGAACCTCATCAGGACCGTGGAGCCACGCGGGGTCACCGTGCTCAGTAACAGCCTGAATCTCATCAGGACCGTGGAGCCACGCGGGGTCACCGTGCTCAGTAACAGCCTGAACCTCATCA